TGAATCATTGGCCTGTTCTACAATACATAATCATTATGATGGCACATGTTCTTTGTACATCGTACGGTTTTGCGAGTATAATTTGTGTCGGGGAAGAAGGCGCCAGTGAAAGGTTTCTCCTTGATAAGAATGCTTTAAATCACGAAATGTCATAATGTATTAACGTAATTAATTATTTAACTAAGAGTCATGTAACGGGTAAGATACTTAGTCCGCTGTTAGATAAATCCCGGAAGAATTGCGTTAGGTTCTTGCTTGTCGCGCGAGACAAGTCGCAAAACGAAGAAGAAACGAGAATGAAGAAAGATCGTTGCGTTCGTTTCGGTTTACGTCGCGACCCGCTATTTATCAAATCTTTTTAGCTACAGATTAACGCCGGTAATAATTTTCAGACTTTTATGTACTCAATTAGCTGGTTCTAAGCTACTTCAACGTCTTAAAATCTGAACACTGGAACAGCCAAAAATTCCTTTTTTAGTAAATCCATTATAAGAAGATAAAGATGTCATTTTTGTAAAAATCAATTCATTGATTTAGAATTCATTTAGACTCGTATAATTCGCCGATAAATAAAATATGAAAGAAAAAAAAAGAATTAAGAAATGAGACTGTTGTTGTCGCTGAAATATATTTATCGACCTAAACAAACGATAAAATTCTGCCGTTAAAATTTGCAATAACGATTGTCATCCCTGATGATTAACCGAATATCGTTTTTTTTTTTTTCGATGAGCCTCTTATTGGCAGGCATCGCGGTCGATTATGCTATCCATTCCTCATATTAACATTAACTCCTCGGACCGGTGGGTGACCTTACGGAGGATAAAAGACGGATTTTACGCGGACGACCGAGCGTGTCCCATACGTGGCATTAGTATTCCAGCGGTTGCGCGTGCCTGGTTGTACGGTGCTGGTACTGGACGAGGATACGTACACGCGTGAGCGGCGTGCCAGTGCGTAGAGCTGGTGCGTGCATCGCTAACGCGATATGCCGTGACTCGTCGCGTGAGCGATTCGGCCCCCAAAGGTCGGCGTGCGGTACAAAACGCAAAGCGTTTCACGTAACGCAGTAAGCGCATACTCGCGAATTTTCATGAAACTTTAAACGCGCATCTCGAACGGGAAAGCGATAAAACGATGATTTAGAAGCAATTTTCTAACAGATAAATAGTAAAAATAACACGCGAGAAGCGATGCTTTTCACCCTAATGCCCGTTTCTATTAATGGAGATTAAATTTAATCTCGGTTTAATTTGTTTTATCTTTTTCTAATTCTTGGAACTGGAAAAAGATAGAAGGTAAATTAAATCAAGATTAAAATTAATCTACGTACATTGGTAGGAATGGTATTAGTTTGACAATTCATTATAGTAAAGATAAAGTCAAATTATTTTATATTGCTATTTTCTAAACAATGCATCATGTCGAATATATTATATATGTTATTCCTATAATTAATGTTAATTTACTTTCTTAAATGAACCACACAGTATTATCAAAGAATATCTGCTTAAGGACCATCCCACAGTCGGGATCATAATTTCTTTCACACGTGATAAGTAATAAATTAAATGGAGATGAAAATCGCGCGATATATGAAAGCGGTACATCATCACCTCCTTCATCTTCGTTTCCTTTGTCCCCTTCGATCGGAGAAGGCATTCACTCATTGGTCACGCGTAATAATGCGATGCATCGGGGGTTTGCGTCAGAGCACGTCGTCGTCGCGAGAGTGTCGCGACCTTAAAGAAGGAAAAAAAGATAAGGAAAGAATCTAGTTTATTTCGCAATAAATTCCCCGTTCGCAAGTCGAGCCAGCGATGCGCGCGGCGCGATGTGATTTGTGTATCGTGCCGGCCCTAAAGGTCGAGAGTGGAAAAGAGATGCGGTTGCATCCTCCTTGTGCAACTTCTCCTTTCTCGATTTGCGGATTTCTGCGGGAAACTCTGACGCGGGACGACCGCGGCGCGGCGGCGAGTTCTCTCTCGAGCGGGCGAGAGTCGTCGAAGGCGGAGAATCGGAGATCACGCGATAGAGATAGGGCACGTGGGTGACTCTGTTGATTTGGAGCCGCGCTAATACCGGCTCCCGAACTGCCGAATTTATCGTTTGCGGTTTGAAAGCTGATCGAGATGGTGACGCGAGATAATTTTGTTGCAGACGCGTCATTAATCGTGTAAATACTGATCGATAGTGAGGCCTCTTTGGTCAAGCAGACACCTCACTTCGGAGATCGAATCGCGCGCGATACAGATATTATTTGAAAATTTATTTGAAAAATAATGGTTTGAATAATTGTGTGTACAATACATTTTTTATAATAAATTGTGTAAATATTTAATATAGGTACTGATAATACTTGTGTCGGGAAGAATAAATCGAAGCGCGGCGGATTGAGAAGAAATTTCGTCCTATAACTCGTTGCCTCTCTCTCTTTAAAATGTTTCAAGTTTTAATAAAAAAGTTAATTTCTTTGTGTAATTTCGGTTCATAATTTTCAAATATCAGGGACTTGATGATTTCCACGAAATGGAAATTCCCACGAATTCCTTGGAATTCGCTCATTTTCCGCGGGTTATGCACTCTCGACGTAATCAAAACGGTTAGACGCGAGTCTTCTAAAGATGGAGGAGGCGAATTACCGTCGAATTGATATTTGCACTAATCGGATTCACGAGCGAATATAATCCTAAACGAGCACACGAACACCGTCCCATTAAACTCACGGGGTAGTTGAAGCGAAAGTTTTGAATTTCACAATTCGATTTTTCACCATTTTGCACTTGTATTCCGTTACCGATTAAAATTATTCTTGTCGAGAACGCAAGATTATTTTGCTTTATATATGATACATCGAAAAAACTCGCGAAACCGAAAACAATCAAAACGCAATTAAAAAAACAACGCATTGAAAACAATCCGAATTTTTCGGTGCTAGATAAAACATGAAGCTTTGAATGAAAACAGTGGGCAATTTGATGAACCCAGTTGCCCCGCAAATATTCTCGAAATAATCCGATCGATACGCGCAGACAGTTATTCCTGAGTCTCGGCTTTGGTATGACATAATTCGATAATAAATTTCACATTCGCTATACGAAGGAATCAAATCATCGCTCTAATTTCAGCGAACTCGCTCGCTCGCTACCTCGTCGTAGAGACATGTGCAAGAATATACCTGGCTAGGTCGAATTTAAATTCCTAATTAACGAAATTATTATTAGAGATAAACAACGCTATCCCGCTGGCTGCGAATATTTTGCTCGAGATTCGAAATTGTTAAGACAAAAAAAATAATAGTGTGATGATCGCGTCGAAACTGGAAATCAAAATTAAACAAAGGCTGCGTTCCGATATTTACTGTCAGCAACTGTCAGTACTGAAAATCTATAGTATACGTGACGTAAAATATATAGAAAAAAAAATACATTCTCACTGACAGTGAATGACAGGGAATGCAGCCTTTATAGTATATTTGTAATATGAAATGACAAAAAGATAACAAAGTTGTATCACAGTAAAATGTAATAATTATTTATTTACGCGGAATAAGGTATTTAAATTAATTTTATAGGGCCGGAAAACGCCGCTGGGCGATCAAGAAACCGATGAAATCCGGGAGAGGCTGCGTTACATGCATAAACTCCTCGGGGCCTTTGAAACGAACGCGAAGGAACGGTCTTGCAATTACGCGTTGACGCAATAGTGCGAGGGGCGCTCTTGCGCGCTCTCCGCGGGTTCTCGCTTTCTCTCATCTTCCGAACGATCGAGCGGCTGGAACGCTGGATATATCGAACGGGGACGGAACGAAGGACCTTGATCCTTCTCACCGCGACACCTTCTCACCGTTTTCCCTTCCCTTCTCCGTTATTATATCTTTTTTTCTCTTCTCCCTCGCTTGCAATTCGAAGCGCGCGACGACGGACCGTAGCTCGAGGTTCTCGCTCGGTTTTTCTCCGAGCTGTGTGGATGCGTTATGCAAGGCGGGGTTAACAGCGAAATTCTCGGTTTCCACAGCCTAGTGAACCGCATCGAATCGCCGGGATATACGCGTACAGATATTGCAACGTGCTCATTTCTGCGGTCGTGCCGCCACTCGCCGGAGAAGGACAAAAAAAGAGAACACCACTGCAAAACCGCACCGAACGGCGCTTCCGGAGAGTCCGTATGTTTTACGTCTTGTTTGCGGCGTGTTCATTTTTCTGGCAGAAAAAAGGGGGGCGAGCGGGGTGTCCTCAATGACTTCGATCGCGGTCCGGGCCAGATTTGACAATGCGACGGAGATGCGCGGACTTTTGGAGTACCTGCTTCTCTTTCCGGAATTTAGCGAGGCGACCCTTTTCCGGGTTTTTATTTCGAACGCAGATGGTCCACACGAGATTGAAAAAGAGACACGCCAAGAAAATTCCCTTTTTGAGCGGAAATCAAGAAATATGAAACAAATATCAGATTAAAGTTAATTTTTCACTGATTACAACTTATACTTTTATCGTGTTATCATTGAATTACCATTTTGGATCAATAAAATAATAAAAGCTGATTATTTCGTAACTAAAATCCATTGAAGTCAATTTCGAACTTCGGATGCGCCCAACGTAGTGTTCGAAAATCGGGTTCTATTTAGCGAACACTCTCTCGTATTGCGGTGCAATGCGCAAACGTTCTCTTTAGGCCATATTCGATTTTACTCACAAGAAACACGTTTACTATTGACAAATTAGGCAACTTAACTTCGAGCCACAATATCTCGAAAGCTAGACACGTCGTAACGTAATAGTTTATTCGCAAGTAATGATCTACTTTTGAAAACCCTTCCAATGTATACCTCACTCAATTTAAACTTTTTGTGCTCAAAAAAGGGACTTTTAAAAGCCATTTTGAGCGTCACTCTTTCGATCGAAATAAGCTTCGGTATTTGCTTAATAATAATCGATTTCTTTTTCCTTCCGTTCGAAAGAAGGATCTTTTATTTCTAATAACTTCGTGTTTCTTCCATTAAGGATGCACGAGATGGATCAGGCGGGTCGCGGGGCACGCGGGCCTGATTGTCTGTCCATCGCAAACGGGGCACAGGCAGCACACGTAACAGGCACGCCGAACGTGTACCGGATGGATCGCTCCGTGTTCCAAGTATTACAAGAGCGATCTCCTGCGTGTCGAGACTGCAGATGCGACGAAAGGCCGTCTTCGCGGGACGCACTCTTCCTCGTGTGCCACCGTCGCCAGAAAACGCCAGGGTGTGGCGCCAAAACCCGGGAAACAACCTTAGGCACGACCTCGTCCGAGACGGACAAAACCCGCGCCGATCGCACCTCCGGTTTTCGGCGGCTGGAGTATCCGCGTGGGAGGGCAAGGGTCTGCATTCCATTTCTAGAATTTCATACCTTACAATTAGAAGGAAAGGATCGTATGTCCATTTCGAGAAAACAAGGTTTAAAGTTTTAAGTAAGGAAATAATATATTTTTTTTAGATATAAAATAAAAGTAGCGATTTGAATTATTAAGTTTTTAATAAGTATCTTAACTCAGGGATATAGGAATTAGTTTAGGCTTAGAGAAATGTATGAGTAGTAAGGTAAAATTGTAAATCAAGTCCATTTCTTCAGTAAAAAGCTGAAGTTAAATAAATTATTATTATTAATAAATATCTTAACTGACATGTTTAATGTACAACCAATAACACGCTGTACCTGGTTTAAAAATTAAACACTATGAAAATGTTTAATACAACTTTTTCTAAATATTGTATCTTAGTAATAATAAACATAAAACGTTTTACCATTATACAATTTAAGCTTCCGTTATATTGAAAAGTGTATTAACTCCATTTTGACAAAAAACTGGAGATACGATCCTTTATCTCTAAGGAAATCTACAGATTTGCTATTGATCTGCCGATCAACCTGCCGCAGGTCGTGCAAATGCATGGTACTGCGTTAGCTCGTCATTTCAAACAATCGTATACCTTTTTAAAATGTTCTTTTAACATATCATTGTCATGTTTCTATTTCTGACACTGAATCGATCATATTATAAAATAGGATGTAATCTAGGCTATTACCTCATCGACATTTAACTACAATAACGATATACAATATTCTGTCCCATTTTTTTATTTAAAGATCTCACTTTAGACAAAATAAATTTCAATAAATAACTTACCCTCGATTTTCCGGTATTCATTTTTCGAGATTTATTGAAATTATTCCGAGAAACGATCGCTGCGTGTTATTAAAAAATTAATCTTTTTTTCTGTAAATGGAAACAATTGCGATTTCAGATTTCTTCTAAGTTTAAGCGTCCGATGTTCATATTCGAATACTCGCGACTTCGACATCGTGGGATACGTCCTCGGTCGCGTAGGCGATCGATCCGCGCCGCGGACTCGCGCAGCGGGTAAGACAACTAAGGCAAGTTTACATATCGCTACGCAACGGCCGGCGCGTCCTGTAAGTGTATCGTCGAGTACGTAACAGGAAGTAACGCGGCGCGAATATTAACGAGCGGGCGCGCACCACGAAAGCGTTTACGGCTCGCTCTCCGCGCTGCACACACGCGCGCGCCTTCGCATTTTGCAACACGTGCAATATGCGAATGCGCGCGCGTCCGATGTGTTTTCGCACCGCATCCAGCTTCGACAGCATTTCGCGGAACGGGCGCAAACAATACATATATAAGTAACGCTTCGCCTCGCATTCCGAGGTCGTGAAAATTAAAAGTTTTCACGGCGGGAAATGTTAAAGGAATTCCGCATTTGAGAAGAGAGTAACCGCTCTGCAACGTTTTACAAAACTAGACACATCTTATTTGCCTTTCTTGTCATTTTGGAGTCTGGAATAAAGGACATCTTGTTTTGTAAAACGTTGCGGAGCGGTTACTCTCTTCTCAAATGCGGAATTCCTTTAACATTTCCCGCCGTGAAAACTTTTAATTTTCACGACCTCGGAATACAAGGCGAAGCGTTACTTTTATATATAATTATAGTATATTATAATATACATTATAATATTATATAAATACTATAATAATGTTATATACCTAATAATAGAAAGACTTCCCAATCGTCTTAATCACATTTATAACGTTTCTAATTAGGGGAGATATCTAATATGGTTATATAAAACAAAATAAATCTTTAATATAAAATCTTAAGGGATAGTACAATAAGCTTCTCAGGAAACATCACAATATCTAAATTGTTTAAAATACTCTTAACCATATTTGTGAGAGATGCGATAGACAAATCTGATGATGGGTGAAGACCCTAAGCGAAGAGTGTAATTTGGTATACACTATACACATTACTTTCACATTAGACTCACATAGTTCTTTATGTACAATCGCTACACGCAAAATGCTGTGGATTTGAGTAAGTTATTCCTCAGCTGCGCTTAAATTTGTCTTGGAAGGGTGGCAAATCCAAAATCCTAGCTGTACCAAGGAGTACCAGTACTGGAAACAAAAAATAACGTTTGAATAAGATTCGTCAATTATTACGTCAATTATATTTCGTTAAGTGAGATTATTTGCGCCGAACACAGGGTGCGAACGCTCCTCAGCAATATTCTGTTTTTTACATAAAGCAGAACAAAGCCGGCGCAATGTTCGATACGCTTGCTCGGAATCGACGTACCAGAGGCGACCGAGTACATCGCTGCCTTTCCTACTTGCTTCTGGTACTGTTTGGAGTGATGACAGACGTATAAACCGGCGGCGACAAGGCCGCCGCCGCTCAGCAGTCTGCACTCGAGACAATCGCGGTTCCTGTTGCTGATCATACTGTTCACCGTGTGTACATTCGTCATGTCTCGATCTTCGACGCGGTTCACGAAGACGCCGCATACGGCTACGGCGAGGAGATTTTCCAGCGACAGCGAGGTTAGGAAACAAACCGTGCGACCATCATTGGACACTTGTCGATTGTCGATTGTTCAACCATCAACTTTCTCGATGCGTTTTGGAACGCATCAGAAAATACATCTAAGGACTTTCGGGAAATTATAGGTTTGTTCGTGTTGCTTGAAATTCCATAATGTGTAAGCATAAGAAAATTGATTGGTCCATACACATGCGCATAAGGAAATAGACCAATCAGTTTTCTTATGCTTACGCATTATGCGTTATGCAGAAGTGTGTGTTCTGTTCCCCACTTCATTGGTCCAGCGGTTTTATGCTATGCTTATGCAGCCTATGCAATTTTGTGTGCGATGGCCTTTAAAGTGCAAAAAGTGTAAATAACTAATTTTTGTCAAATGCGTTCCGAAACTCGTCAAGAAGATAGCGTTCTCAATTGGACATCGGCTGTGCATCTCTTTAGGTTTTGTTGTTTCATGCCTCGACTTTTTTAACGACCGAACCGGAAGTCACGTGTGCAAGATCATGCGAGACGTACTTGGCTACCCGGCTTCCTGTCTGTACGCGTTCTTCTTCTCCTCCCCTCCTCGTTCTGCGTTTCGTTGAGCCCCATTGCTCGCCGATAGTCGTAACTTAAAAGATAAAAATATAAGTACAGAGAGAAGGATTGAGGACAATTGCGTACGGAAATAATGGCGGCAACAATGAGGTGTCTTATGAGGTTCAATGTGGGACTGACAAGCAATACTCTTCTGAGGAATAGCTTCCTGAACTGTACGTAATATTCGACTTAACCTCACATCATACCTGCTCGCGGCGACTCGGTCATTACTCGCGTTACACGTTAGTACGTGTACCGGTGTACGCGATCATAATTTTTAATTTTTAGTTAATACACACTTCAGGAAATATATCCAACATATATTACATATCCGAAAAGAATTTAGCAAAATTTCAAATATTTTTATAAAATCCTTTTGAACATTTAAAATAGTGAGGTTTTTTTTCTTTTACATATCTATACACTTTTGATATATATACTTTTTATTTTGCAGCTTGCAGATTTTTGTATTCGGACCAAAGCTTGGGTCTGCAAGGCTATGAAAATGCACGATTAAACTTCCGCAATCAGTTTTTAAATGTGGAGAACACATTCCGCAGTAAGATGGAGGAAGTGTGCAACGCAGACTCGAGTATGATTTTCACTGAAGATCTGAAGTCCATGTTGCATCTAGCTCAAAAGAAACCCGAGGACATTGAACTGCTTGTCAAGATGCTGACGAAATTTAACAATCAAACTAAGGAGATGAGATTTGGTACTTTTATCTTCGGTCCTGTGGTGATGCGCACCTTCTATTATTTGGACGAACCAGATCTCGCGTACACTGCTTTCAAGGATCCCAAGTTCGAGAATTTCTTTGATCAATTAGTCAGTTACCAGATTCTCTTATCTCTGTTATATAAGCATGGAAAGTACGCTCAAATGAGAGAGGTGTATGATATAATCAGGACCAGGCATATAGAGGCCGGATATGCCAGGAATTCTTTGATATTAGTTATGGCTGCTTGTTACAAGGAGGTAATGTTTTTGTGAGAGCGATTAAATTTTAATGAAAGACTCTTTACACATTAATAATTTTAACATAATTTTTATTCTTAATGCTTCCAGAACACACCGGAGACGTTGGAGTATGGCTTAAAAGTCTGGAGAGAAATTGACGAAAAAGGATATATGATCATGCGTAGAGCCACCACATTTTTAGCAGCTCTAGCCATTAAGCAAAATTTGTCTCATATAGCTATAGAAATTTTAAGTTCGATAAAAGAAGCCCGATACATCCATATAAGATGTTTGAAAATTGTAGCTTACGCGGATTTGAAGAGATTCACCGAGATAGTGCCCATACTTAGAGCATCGTTGGAGCACGACAGGCCGAATTCTAAAAAAGAATGTTATTTTAGAGACGTGGTATGTATCCAGTTTAAATAAAGTCCTCATTTAACGATGTAACATATGCACACGTTACATTTTATTTGCATTACATCATCAGATTGAGAACCTGGAAGAAGCTATGGCAACGGAGAATATCCCTGAGGACTTTGAACTTTACAAGTTGATTACTTTGTTGAAGAAGGATGATCACATCCTACCCGAGGTAAGTTCTGCCATGACAATCGTTCTTATATTTATCATTGATTATTATTACTAATTTATTGTGTCAATTGCAAAAATTTGTACTGTTATTTTATTTTTTACACTTATTTCTGTACAATCCAAAGAATTTCTACTTGCATGTGAAATTCTGACAAATTAAGCGACATGTAGTACCTATTAGAATAGAAGAATGACAATCATATTTTTGCAGACATTGGAAAACAGTATTTGCGCGGAAATAAAGGTGGATAGATCGAAAACAAGGAAATTTGGCACAATGGCAGAATCCAATTTTTCACAGCGACAGCAAAATTTTACGCGTAATAATAGTAGACCGGCATTGCGTGATCTTTTGTAAGTATGTTTATAGAAACATGTCCATACGGAAGTTGTAGAGTGTGTCTCGATATAACCGATGTGATTGGAGTTATCTGAGACAAATTTAAGATAAAACCATTGACTAAATATACGATTTGTTTCGACCGATGATGGACGAAATCATATTTGTTCTTATTAAATAATTTAATCATTAATGCACCTTCTTCCACGCACCTTTCCATAAGTTCATACAGTTTACAGTAAGATTCAATAAGGAACTTATAAAATTACTCTAGTTAATTTAGATTTATTATACTTTTTACCGTTCAGTACCAAAGAAGTCAAATTAACGTCGTCATGTAAAATTCCTAACGCGGCAGTCGCTAAGAAACCAGCCACAATATGCAGTTTTATTTGTATACATTGGAATAGCAGGGTCTTGACAGCATCTGCCCCTTGGAAGATGTAAGCGATCGCGGCACACAAGATATTCGCTTTTACAATTTAACCATAATAAAACTGTCTGAAACTCCATAATAAAACTGTCTGAAAATCCATAGAAACTGCGAAATTTTGTTAACTTAGAGATTATCAAGTTCTCTCTCATTATGAAATAACCATCGTGACATATTTTCAGAGGTTTGAAATTGCGATTTCATTATTGATATTAGCGACAATATCCACTGATTATTAATTGGAGCGCAATCCTTATTTCTGTAAACAAAATACATATGACAACTCAGCAGTTGAAAACAGACAAGATTAATATCATTTCCATAGTACCAACCTGGATAAAAGAGCTGCAATGAAATTAGCCCAGCTTTCAACATTGCTGGGATATGTAAATATATTTTTCTGAGCTTGTCGAAGACCCTCTTTCGTGCCGAAGTGACTGTACGCTGATGCGCAAGCTACATATACGATATCGGTCATAGACGTATTTCTGCTTAGCGTCAACGCCGTTAGAGCACATTTACGGAAAATATTCAGATCTTCGTCCAACAATAAAACTCGAACAAGGCGTACCCAATATCTAACATCGTCTACAATACATATTCATTGTAAAGGATAAGCTTTAAAGCTTGTAGGCGTCTATCATTTAATGATATATGATAACATTAATATTACTCACTAGGATGCCTGAAAATAGCTTTGGTGAGTATTCGTGTAGCTTGAGTGAGATTTCCCTGAATAACTTGATGGTATGCTGACAGTATGACGACGTTAATTTGACTTCTTTGGTACTGAACGAATTGAAATCATATGAAAATCATCACGAGTATGGGTATCACGTCGTCATGTAAAATTCCTAACGCGGCAGTCGCTAAGAAACCAGCCACAATAGGCGGTTTTATTTGTATACATTGGAATAGCAGGGTCTTGACAGCATCTGCCCCTTGGAACATGTAAGCGATCGTGGCCATCGCGCACAAGATATTCGCTTTATCTGCACTAGTGTCTGCTAGCCAATGTAAAGCTGCTTCATATGTATCGTACGATTCTTCGTACTGCTTGGCTAAATACATACAAGACATTTTCTTAATTTATTAAAGTTATACGTTTAGCTGTACATAAATTTAAGTATATAATTTTTTTTCAATTTCTATGACTTCATGTGAGAGTATTTGAATCATAGTTGACAGATCTCAACGGGTTTTATCTCAGTTTTAAAAGAAATTGATTAGAGAATCGAAAATTGTATAAGTAAAGGAGCATGAAATGAATGGTAACCCATCTTGGGAACTTATATTTCAATATGATAAAAATAATTTCTAATATTTCTATACCTTTGAATAAGGATAATGCAAGATGGCACTGAGAATTGAAATTTGCGCATTTCACTTGTTTGCACAATCCCACCGCTTCTTTGTACTTTCCGGTTTGAATCAGGATGCGTGCCAAGTTTATGGATATCATATCTCTTTCTTCATCCTCGCTCAGTTTTAAAGCCATGGCAAATTGTTTAGCCGCCGTGTTGTATAATTTCAGCCGTTCCAATAATAAGCCATGGGTATTCAGGGCATAAACATCATACGGCTCGCGTTCTAAAAAAAATATCGAAAATTTGCCTTAAAGTACTGAAGAGAGTATCACATCATGCTGATAACATTATCTGCTAACCTAAATACCAAGTGAGAACGTCAGATGCTGCAGGTATCGCGTGCATGTTCTCGATAAAATAAATCAACAGTGGATCTTTCTTCATTGCGGGACTCAGGAGAGTAGTAAGCACCCAATGAGCATAGCCTAAAGCCGCTTGATTGTGATAACCCAGTTGCGTCGAATGCCGAAACAGATCCATCGCTTCCTTCCTCAGGATCTTTTCCGCGATTAATCCTTGTCCGACCCAGCTATTCACGTAACTAGGATCCGCACGTTGCGCTCGAGAAAATGCTTCATTCGCTTTATAGATATCTCCTAAATGTTGCAACAAACAATTGTCACAAAAAATGCGTATATTTTAATAAAAGTTAAAAAAGTGATTATCTTTAGAATACCTAGATACAAGTATAATGTTCCCAAATTGCTCCAAGCTGTTGCATTGTTTGACTCTCTTTCGATCGCCATAACGTAACAATGCTGAGCCAGAGCATAATTTTTTACATACACTGACATACAAATAACACCCAGAATATTCCAATGTAGCCACGATTGCGGGCAGAGTTTAATGGAACGTTTTGCAGCTTCATAGCACTTAGTCGCCACATCGTTCTTGTTTACTGTAGTAGCGCGATTTAGTTGCATCAAATAACAGCAGGTTAAATCATGCCATAACGATGCAGAATTTTGCATGGATATTATCCGGCTAAAATACCTGAAAATAAGACGATTTGACGATAAAGTGAGATTTTATAAAACGTAAAAATGATACAAAATATTAATGAAGTCTCATGACAATATTCATAAGCATTTAATACATGCAATCTGTTGTATATTAATAATTGCGTTTAATTAATATTATTCTTGTCTTTTATATATGGTCATATTATAAAATAATTTAAGAATATATCGTTTTTTTACCCTATTGACAACATGAGTATCTCGTCTCCTTTAATATTCACATATTTTTCAGTACTGTCGCAATTCATCATCGCCAAAGAGAAAGCCTTTTGCTTAATCCTTAAATAGCAATACTTTTCTGGCAGAGTGACTATTCTATAGCATACATCTCCCAGCAATTTGTAATTGCAAAGTAGATCATTACGTATCATAATAACATCTACCAAACTGTCTGCTGCTTGTTGTAGATTTTCCCTCGCACGACATAGAAATTGTTTCGCTATATTTTCCTTTGCCAAACCTATACACGCTTGTGCTAGACCCTTCAATGCAAGAATGTGCCGTTCATCGTTCTGCAATATACTCTCGAAGGCTTCTTTGGCTTCTTTATGTTGACCAATGAGCTAGGGAACAGATTTTACACGAATATTACATTTATCTACATTGTCCACAGTCATCTACATTTTCATAAATTTTATTTACTAGTTTGATATTTGCTAATTGTATCATGGGATACAAGGATCCTGGGCTCAACTGTAGCGCACGTTGATACGATTTCAGTGCCGATGTGTGAGCACCGCGTGCTAAGTACGCATCCGCCAGAGATTCCCAGCTGTGACTGTACAAAGTGCAAACTTATGAGACAAGGAATATCATAGCGCTCTGTAACACAACAGTAGCGAGTTATATTATACTTGTCATTAGGATCGGCTCTGATCACATGCTGTAATGCCGTAATAGCTTGCCCCGCGTCACCTTCATCCAAGTAATGCAAACCCAGTTGGAGCCAAGCCCATCTCGGTCCAGTACCTTGCTTAGTTACTCTGTGTAACAGTCGGATATTGGCAGCCTGAACAACGATATATAATATTAGTATTGGTCGGAATAGTCATCATGTATAAATTTGTGTTTTAAAAGAAAATAAAAGACATGTTCGTATGATGCTTACGGTATCCTTGAGAAGACGATAAGCTGTGCTCAATCCAATACCAGCTTCCTCGGAATTCGGATTGATTTGCAACGCGGTGTGATAACATTTCCTTGAACGTTCTATGTCGTTACTATGTTCACGGTAATAACGTCCTAAGTAAAGCATGCATTCCCAATTATTGCGATCCGCTTGTACGCCATTTAAAAATGCCACCAGACTGCTGTTGTAGTCTTCCGTATCCCAATATATTTTACCAAACAGCAACCAAGCTTCAGAATTTTCTAAAGCTAGCTCGAGAATGTTTATAGCTTCCTGATACTGTTTGTGCTCTTTTAGATGCAACCCTTTGAGAACAAAAGCTTGGAGCTTAGTTTCGTCCTGAGATTCCAAGTTATTTATTATAGCAGTAACATCTGGTTCATCCAGTAATATATTTGTGCGTGCATGTATCACTCGCAATTGTATGGAAGGCTCAATGCTTAACAGCTGAAAATAGAAATTTATTATACATTAATAAATATCGAGAAAGGATTTAACGTTTGTGTTAAATAATACTCACCTCTTCGCACATCTGACGCGCTTCCACCAATTTTTCTTTGTCGCTACTTCTGCTTATCGCTTCAAGCAACTTCAACTCGATTCCCTGTTGAAATTTATCCTTTAAACAGGGTTTTATCAGTTGTAGCGCTTTTCTAGAAGCATTCTCAGTTTCTTCCCAGCAGTAGAGGTCATAATGTATTTGGCTTAACATCAACCAAGCATAAAACGATTGCGCATTTAACGAGACTACTTTTTTCAAGCAATCGCGTGAATCGATTAACTCATCCTTTCTTTTCAAATATGCTGCTTTCGCGATGAGCGCAACATCGGAATTTGTACTAAGCTTCAAAAGCTGCTCATAAAACTGAGTTATGTCGATCTCAAGTTCATTTTCAGACAGTGCAGCGTTTTCGTAATAGATACGGCACAACCATTCTATCGTATAAAGAAACTAATTGTATAGTGTGAGAGTATAATACATAAATTTCGGTAAAAATTGAAAGATAATTCACCTAGAGGACAAGCATCCTGTGAAAATTGAATATGCATGTCTTGAGCGGCTGCTAACAACGCTGTAAATTTATTTGAATCATACAGCATTTTTAAATATTTCCTGTAATACTCTTGTCTATTCATTAGCTCTACGTCTTTTATTACAGACGCCAACACATTTTCATAAAGCTCCTGATGCTCGTTTATTCTATCATTAGGGTACTCCGATAAAACCCATACCAGGGTCTTATCGATCAGACTGATCTTCTCTTTGGTAGAAACCTCTCGTAACGTGCTCAATGTGTTCAACGCTTCGGACAAGACATCATCATTCTTGATGCGCAAGATAATTTCAGAAATTTTATTCACGAAATGCGTGAACTTAGGAGAGTCGCTAAAACACAAATGGATTATCTTTTTCTCTAATTTTTATATAGTTTAAAATGATCCAAGAATTATGATATCCTACCTATCTAACTGCAACAGTTTGCAATAGGCTAGAGCCAACTTTTTCCAGTTGTCGTGATCCTGTGGAGCCTTCTCATAATGTGCCGCTAATCCTTGCCAGGCCAACGGATTATTCGGTTGCACCTCCACGGCCTTTTGAAGAACCAAGGACACCTGCGATTTAAATTCCTCCACCTCTTGCATGGAACGTGCTAACAGAACCAACGCCGCATAATTGCTCTTGTCCTTCTTCAAAACCTTCTTGCATTTCTTCATAACTTCCAGATATTCATTTTGCTTGAAGGACTCGCGGGCCTCCTTCAACAAGATCTTTATGTCATCCGACATTTTGCTCTTTAATGAAATAAACAAAACGAACGTTGAAATAGATTAGATTTTATAAATCTCTCGCCCTCGACATTTCACAATTCAAACCCATCACAGTGTGATCTTTTTTTTTGAGGTTATAAACTCTGGTTGGAGTTAATTGGCCGCGTTGAGCACACACACAACTGTTGCGTTCGTTTTATCAACACTCTGCGTTGATTGGTTGGTTCTAAAAGTAAGAGCCAATCACGCTTGACTGCTACTGAGCGGCTTGGTCTGCTGAACGCGCCCATTGACGCCTTCAGCCCCACCTTTATTAGGGTGCATTCGGGGAGACGCTATTAACGCTATAAACGCAAACGCTATGAACTCATAGAGATCTATGTATGAACTTCGTTCGAAGAGCCAATAGCGCGACAGCGATCAAATAATCGATTAATCTTAATAATCTATCCAATCAGCATGAGTAGCGGAACTCAGAGCGATAATGTCAATCCTATTTCGTGAGCCTGCCGCAAAGTTATCCCATATAAACTTCCAGTAGTTCGTAAGCTACGCATGCCCGACGCATTTTCAATCTCGTAGAGCCTTCGAACTTTTGCCATAGATTTTATCACGCCAGGAAAAATAAGAACGAACGTAGAGCTACGAAAGCGTAGTATTTCGCGGCGCTTCGGTTAATTCGCTTTAGTGCAATTTTCGCGAGTGATAATTCATCGTTACTGCGTGGTAATTTTACGGAGATCCTACTTTTCCGCGAGATCCACCTTAATTTCTGTCTTTGTTCGACACGCAATCTCATGGCGCGTAAAGACCCGTGTTTACTACGTAGTGCATGCGATACCTTCACATTCTGTAAATCGCACAGAAGCCGCAGATACATATAATGATCACCGCGGGACGAATCACGAAATACCGATGACGGTGCCGTACGACTGTCCGGCGAAGCGTCGATAATTCAGGCCAGCCTACTAACGTCTCTAATTTCCTTGATATTCGCATCGAAGGGTCCTTCCGCTCGAGGAGCTTAAGGATGCCAGAAATACCTCCGTGAGAAGGTATAAACGCCTTGCAAGGGTAGGCCTCTATAGGACTTGTATTAATTTCATATCCCTTCCGCCGTCTGACGCCGGGACTACGTTCAATCATCTATTTATTACCGGTCGCGTCCAATCCGGTAATACTATGTCTCTCTCTCTCCTCTTTCTCTTTTCGAGATATCGCCTAGATGCGAGGGAGTGGCGACTGGTCATTAATTTCCACTAGCACCCTACTAAGGATCGCTGATGGAAAACACATCACGAATCTCACCTGTACAGTGACCAAATTATGAAGCGACCGTATCGAAATTTGATAAACGTGTCGAATAAGTATCCCGATATCATCACATTTTTAATATAGACTTGGGTTCATTTAACAACAATTGCGTTATTAAACATTAGCTTCTTAAAATAAATAAAAATTGTCGCATTATTGAAATAAATTAAGCAATAAATATGCTAATAGTAAAGTTACTATCACACACATTAGCAATATCTTAAATTTATATTTCAAAAATCTAGAAATATTTGTAAAATACATTATTTCATGATTTTTAATCAAGCGGTTTAAACTAAGCTTAAATTAAATCTACTCAAAAAATCTACAATGTTAAGTTATTCTAAAAATTATATAATCCTAAACGTTAACATTACAAAAATAGACACATTTTATTGCAATGGATTGAACACTCAAAACTGAGAAAGGATATCTGCATGACCGATAATATAAACGTGTAAATGAACGAAACTCGCGAAAATAAACCACCAATGTGCAAGCGTTCGCAAGCGGTCTCGGTGGAGCTTTGCGTGTCCGGCGGCGCGGTAAACATAGAAATCCCGAAACGGAAATCTCGGAAACGTAGCGGAGAATTGGGACAACGCGCGCCCTTCGAAGTATCACAGAAGCTCAGCGGCGCGGGTTGCTCGGCGCGAAGTTGGACGCGCCCTATTAGCGAAAACGAGCCGATTCCTTGCTTCTAACTGCGAATGCGCCGCACACTGAACACCGTAAAGGAATTTGCGGTCCGAGTTGCTACGCTTTCCGAGATCTGCAGCGACCTTTCACCCTACACCCTACACCTTGGGCCCCTCGTCCATCCACCTCGCTCCCGCGCCGCCCATTCCTTCCGACGGTTTGCTTCAGCCCCGATCATCCGTAGCCTCCAGTCACCCCAAGGCTAGTTTCTCCCTGAAACCCTTAAGCCCAACTATCCGCAGAAGTTGGAATCTGTAGGTACCTACGCCGCGACGAAGCTACAAACTCGCCCCTTTTCGTAGCAAGCTGCGTCGCTCGATATAGCCGCAACCGAAGATTTCGCAATGTGCAAATATATTAGTTCTGCTGACCTCGATGATCAAGAGGCTTCAATTACCACGACAGAGGCCATGATAAGAGAAAGCAAGATTCTTCAGCAATAAAAATTCCAATCATAATATGCAATGTAAGCATCACATATACGTTATAATGTAATCAAAGACTTTTAAAAAACGGGTTCGATATATTATGTATTAAAATAGAAAACATCAGCTCGTTTCTTCGCTTAAAACGTATCACAGAGTAAATTTATAATTCTTAGATTTTATAATTTTTCTTAGAATTTATAATTTAATCTATTATTCCTATAACATTTCACTTCAATGTAAATGAGTGTTATTCTAGAATTCCGTCTAAACTCTAAAATACTTTTCAAACAAAAAGTTATTTCTTTATACGTTCTAACTCGTACAATAATTACCGAACAATTCCGAGCAAATTATTTAAAAATTCTCAGATTTTATAATGATCAAGGAAGTCGGAAACGTTAAAAAAAAACTTGTTTCATAATTATATTCTATCTTCTACAAAGATTTTTATTGCGATTCCGGTTTTGATTCTAGTTCTCTTTTCAAACCGGTCAGCCTACTAGCAGCTGGACCATCTAATCTGTATAAGCAA